GAGGGGGAAGAGGAGGGAGAGGGGGAAGAGGAGGGAGGAGGGAGGAGGGAGGAGATTCACCTTCCCAAGGTAAGGAAGGGGGCTCAAAGCTTAGGAAAACATGACCTGGCCATAGCTCAAAGAATACATGGCCAGACCATAGCTTAGCAAGGCAATGACCTATTGCCTACATTTATCATTATCCCATGTATATGCTGACAACACTCAAGGAGTTTAAAAATATGGGCCAGGCTCAGTGGCTCAAATCTGCAATCCCCGTACTTTGGGAGTGCAAAAAAAAGTATACAAACTATAATTTGGATTTATTTAGCTCCCTGAAAATGGATCCAACGCTACTACCCATGTTACTTTCAAATATGCTTTTATAAAGTATCATAAACAAAAGTACTAGAATGTCTATACTCTAATTTAGCAAATCCTTCTTTATAAAAGTTTACAAAGGTAAATCAGTCCGGTACAGAGTGGCTCATGCCTGTAATCCCAGCACAAGAGGACTGCCTGAGTCTACGGGTTCGAGACCAGCCTGGGCAACTTGGTGAGACCTCGTCTTTACAATAAATCAAAAAATTAGCCAGGTGTGGTGGGCATGCCTGTAGTTCCAGATACTTGGAAAGATGAGGCAGAAGGATCACCTGAGTCCAGCAGGTCAAGGATATGGTGGCCGTGAGCATGCACTGCATTCCAGACTGAACAGAGTGAGACTCTGACTCAAATAAAAAAAAAAAAAAAAAAGGTATGTCAGATGTCATCGCCTGCTTTATTCCCATCTCCCTTCCCTAGGAGTTAACACACTTCCCTTGTCCCCAAAGGTGCCAATCTCAGTAGCCCTAGTCTTACTTATACTCTACCCTCCCAAACACAGAAGACTGCCTGGTCCAAGGTTGAAGTAACTCAAGAAGAATTATTCCAAGTTGAAATAACTCATTATTAGCCAACCAGATTTTCTCTTGAGAGTTTGAAGAAAAAGAGATTCTGTTTGTCAAGAAGTGCTGGGACTTTGGACTAAAAGGCCAAACAGTGCAGGCCACAGTCAGTAACATGATAAGCCAAAGATGTACCAGAAAATATAAGAGAGGTTCAAAGAGAAAGCCAGAGAAGCAGAAACAGGAGATTCAGCTAGCCTAATTGTTGATTCCTACCTTTTCACTTTCCTTGAGTCTGGCTATATTTCATTTCTTGTTCACGGATGCTAGCAAGATTGTCTCTTATATTCTTACAACAACTTTCATTTTAACTTGTGCTAGTTGAAATCAATTTCTATGCCTTTCAACCAAAAAGTCCTGACTAAATAAAAATAAACTTCATCTTATCTCTTGTCTCATTACAGCAGTCTGAATTAGTTAAGATTCTGGCAATCTTTTTTTTTTTTTTAAGAAATAGCATCTCTCTATGCTGTCCAGGCTGAACTCAAATCTCCTGGGCTCAAGCAATCCTCCTGTGTCAGCAGGTACCTGCCACAGTGCCTGGTTAGGTTTTGCTAAATTCTATGTAGAACATAGATCAATAGAATCACCTAGTCCCTTGCTACTCAGAGTGTGTTCTGTGGACTACATAAATTAAGATCAACAGAGAACTTGTTGAAAATGTAGGTCTCAACCCACTGAAATAAAAACCTGCATTTCGAGACCAGCCCGGGGAACTTGAAGAGACCTCATCTCTACAATAAATAAAAAATTAGTCGGGTGTGGTAGCGCGTGCCTGTGGTTCCAGCTACTTGGAAGGCTGAGGAGGAAGAATCGCTGGAGCCAAGCAGGTCAAGGATGCAGTGGTCAGGAGCATGCCACTGCCATCCAGCCTGGGTGACAGAGGAGACTCCAACTCAAAAAAAAAGATACTTAAGTGAACTGCATGTGCATTAAAGCTTGAAAAACAAGAATCTGGTGAGGGCAGTGACTCATACCTGTAATCCCAGCCCTTTGAGAGTTGGGGGTGAGAGTTTTGTCTGAGTCCAAGAGTTCGAGACTAGACCAGGAAACCTGGCAAGACCTTGTCACTACAATAAATCAAAAAATTAGCCAGGCTCGGTGGCTCAGCCTGTAATCCCAGCGCTTTGGGAGGCTGAGGTGAGTGGATTGCCTGAGCCTGTGGGTTCAAGACCCGCCTGGGCAGTGAGACCTCATTTCTACAATAAATCACAAAATTAGCCAGATGTGATAGCGCGTGCCTGTAGTTCCAGCTACTTGGAAGGCTGAGGCGGAAGGATCGCCAGAGCCCAGCAGGTCGAGGCTGCGGTGGCCAGGAATGTGCACTCCAGTCTGGGTGACAGAGTGAGACTCCAACTCAAAAAAAAAAAAATCATAATTTAACTTTAATGCCCTCTAGTAGCTCCTTAATTCTCTTACTACTTTCATATCAAAGCCTTTTGGAAAACAAAATCTTCCTACATTTATCAGATCTTAGGAATTACTCATACTGGTCATCAAATCTCTAGTTCTCACATTCAG